CGGCCACCGAAATTGTCACCAGAATTATCCGGACGTCTGAATTGGATGACAGCAAAAAGTATCGCAAAAGCAAAACCGTTTTCGAGCAGGAATTGCAGGCCGGGAGGGACGCCAGCGGTGGCGGCGGGTGTACCATATCGTCCAGCATAGCCTTCGACAATCCCAGCCCTCAGAGTCGCGGCGTTATCATCAAAGAGATCAACGAAGACGGAACTTCTAAGGTGTGTCTCATTTGTTTGTTTACTGTATTTTTGTACTCAATTTTGTTTTGTTTTTTGTGAGAAAGGATGGCTCGACCGACACGTTGGACACTAAGTCCGGTGAGATAATGACTGAAACCAATTTCCAACGCTTCAAATCACCGCAACGTGGAGTGAACGGCGCCGACGAGACCTCTTGGAAGTACTCAATGGAATGCAATTATCTGAACGGCACCAACACTACTGTCCGGTAAGTTGTGATCATCACTTTGACTGTCCATTACTTCCTATACTAAAGAACTAGTAATCCTTTATTGTCTTAAAAGGTCATCAATTGTTGTCTTTTCTAATTCCGCAGAACAACCATTGACTACAAGAGGATTACATATCCTTTAACATCATANACTGTCCATTACTTCCTATACTAAAGAACTAGTAATCCTTTATTGTCTTAAAAGGTCATCAATTGTTGTCTTTTCTAATTCCGCAGAACAACCATTGACTACAAGAGGATTACATATCCTTTAACATCATATGAGACCAGTTTATGATTAATGCTTTACTTAATAATCCCTATCCTTATAATAATTGCCATTTGGGTCTTCACTTAATTTTCTTTGTTGTTTTTTGGTTAATAGTTTTCAAATTGTTTATCATTATTATTATGTAATCAAAATTTTGTTTATTTTTAAATATTAATACAAAACATTGACTTTCAAATTCACTTTACTTTTACATAAAGTTTATTTTTAGAGAAATGATTAACGATTTCTGTTTTATTAAATCCGCTGTAAATCATTTCTACAATATTGTTATACATAATGTGTATGTTTTTCTTTACACTTAAAATAAAGTTTTTATTTATAAATGTTGTAATGAATATCTGCAAACAAAGACAGTGTGTTTGCGTGTTTTGATTATATTATTTCATTGAATGTATAAAATGTATAAATATAAATATCAAGATAGAAAACATTGGACGATAATTACTTTGAATATAATGTGCATATTTTTGATGATATTTAAAGTTATTAAAATTATTCTGCCTTTGAATTCAGATTCTTGTTTAGTAACTATTGTTTGAATAAAACAATTGTAGATAAAATATATTATGTAAAATATTATAGACATACAGTACGTAGAAATTATTTAGATACTCAACATGACTGAATTAGCTAATCATTACATAAAAGATATCGCTTTACCGCTCTATAAATATGGACTTTTCCACAGAATTGATATCAACAACTATTTCAACACATATTTATTAAAATTACTTCAGACAATCAAATGTAATCTCATTATTGGTTGGCATTTCATTCATATATTCATTGGTATTATTCGTTATTTTGAACACAAGAATGAAAGGAATCCTATTTTGTATTACGATATCCGGACAATCATCGGAGGGATCCCTAAATATTTCTACATTATGGACACAATGATGGCTATAGTGTGCACTTGTATTACCTGTCTCTTCAATTATAGCCGCGATTATAAATGGCTTCAAATAATTAAATGCGTGAATGGATTGAAATCGTTTGAAGAGTTAAATATTGAAGACTCAAAACAAGTCAAACAATTACTGATAATAACAAAGAAAATATGCGTTGGAATCAAGTGTTGTGTCATTTTATGCTGTGTTTCGCTTTTTGTGATGGGATTTGGGGCTAGAATAAGGTTTTTGGCCACAAATAGCCAAACATTGACCGTAAATATAATGCTAATTATTAGTGACATTTTTGCTGTTTTCTTTCTTTATACCACATTTTTCACGATATTCTATAGCTTTCAATACTTTTTGATTGTCACATATTTTACAAAAACCAGAATTTGTGTATTAAACAAATCGCTGTCAAAAAACGAGTCAAAATTATTTGTGAAAAAGTTTTACATTAGTTATATAACACATGAATATCACAAACTTTTCAATGATATAATCGCTTACAATAGATTTTGGGAGAAATACATTTTCGCATTCAGTTATACGTTTATTCCCTTAAATCTCGCATTTTTGCAGCAATTGTTTGTAATAAATGATATTCATATAATCATAGCCGCGATTGTCATTAATTTTTCCCTATTATTCACACTTTTTATGATTTATTTGATTGCATCGACTGTTAATACAGAAGCGCGCAAATCGTATAAGCATTTGATAATTGGTTTCAATGCAAATACAGTGAATTCAACGGCCGATCACTCGAGACCTAAATTAAAGGTAAGCGTGAATATCGTTGCGAGAAATTAAACAACAAATGCCTATTGTTTTATTGATTTCAAAACAAATAAATTATTGCATTTTGTTCGCTGTATTATTAAGTATTTATTTGTATTATTTATAAATATGTTTCAAATACACAGCTATTAAACCTAATTGAAAGAGCAGGTGATGGCAACAATTTGATTGGCTTTTCGTGTGGCAATCAATTTATTGTGACCCAAAGGATCGCATTCAAAGTGTGTATTGCTTTTTACATATGATATATCGTAATGAATGAGCGATTATTTTTCACTTCATTATTGCAAATATTGGTATAAAATAGTGATTGTAATATAAAATCGTGTCTTACTTTCAATAGGTTTTTGCACTTTTCATTCGCTTCTTTCTGCTCACAAATCGTTTAACTAATGATATGAGAAAATATTTGTAACAATACATCAATGGTTTACAATTAAAAGTAAAATAGTTTGATTTTACTTAACGTTCACATTAATCACATGATATTAAAATCAATTTTTAGAGCATTAAAGTTATGTATAATTTATATACCGTATTCTTCGGGTTTTAAGCCCATGGGCTATTATGTCACTTTGTTAGAGTGGGTGGGTTACTACCCGGGTACCACCCTTGCTATTTCGACGTCTACCCTAGTCAGAGACCCCTCACATAACAGCTCATGGGCTTCAAAACGGAAGAATACGGTAATATTTTAAACTAAAAATTTTAAGATTAAATGCAATCAATTGACTATAA